ATTAGTTGCCAAAACTGATATTAAAATTTGTAACCTAGGGGAATATCAAAGCATTCTGTATGAACCATTATTTAATGCTGCTCAAATTGTATATAACTTAGTTAATATTTTGTGTAAATAATTTAAGAAATTGTAGTTTGTTATTTAGTTATAAGGTACAATGGGACTGACATGTTTAAAATAACCTAAGTCCCTAAATTTTAAAAAAAAGAATTGCTCACATGTGTGAGTAACGATATATATATATATATATATATATATATATATATATATATATATATATATATATATATATATATATATATTAATAATACATATCACATAATCGTTGATGTGTACAGCTGCCTATATAACCTCTCAATCTCACTCAAAATCTCAGGTGTCCCGGAAACGACGCTGCCACTCTCGGTCTTCAGCTATGACAGTTAGCTCTTTCTGGCAGACAGATCTCTGGAAAAGACTTTGGAGCCCTGGTTCCGCTCGATCATTTCTTCAATACGAGCAGTATTAAAGTTGCGTAAGTCCCGTCGCATGCCTTTAGAGATCTGTCTGTTCAGTTGCCTGTATGCTGTCAAATCTGCTGACGACTGCGGCTGCATGTCTCGTCTAACAGCCATGAGATTAAGAGTGTGATCGGAGTTTTTGTGTTCTTCTGCGGCGGGTCTTGCCGAACTTAGCTCCGACCGCATGGACAGTTTCCACGAGCTTGTCATTTATATCTTCACGTTCACTGCATTGCAGTCTCTAGACACTGAAAACGGTTTTGTAACTCGAGCTGAAAGGTTTCGGGACTTTGGATTAGAGCACGAGGGGGACGGAGAGTTGACTTCATTCGACAAGACCTTTCCAACTTAACGTTTATGTTCAGTGTGCCTCTAATCATTCGGTGATCGCTGCCAGTTTTCACCCTTGCGATCACTGAGACATCACTAAATAGTTGCCGTCTAGTCGTCATAATGAAGTCAATCTCATTTTAGTCGAACCGTCAGGGCTCGACAAGATACAACCTTCTGTGGTGCCGTTTCTGGAAGAAAGAGTTCATCCTAAAGATCTAAGAATCTCTCTTTCTACATGAAGTCGGCCAGCTGCTGGCCCCTTGGGTTCGGTTGCCCTATCCCAAATTTCCCTACCTTCAGCTCACCGTTCTTTCTTGTACCTAGTTTTGCGTTGAAGTCTCCTATTAACACCGTATAGTGGATTTTGGAGGAATGCATGGGTCTAGAAATATCCTCATACATTTCCTCCAACTCCTCATCGGGATTTGTCAAGGTTGGTGCGTAAACCTGTATAATCTTCAGTAAATACCGTTTGGTGATTCTAAGGATAAGGTACGCAACCCTCGCCAACACACTCTCAATCTTTACAACGTTATTAGCGAGAGACTTGTGGACGATAAATCTATCACCACCTTAGGACAGATGGTCGCCCTCCCGGTGATAGAACAAGTTGTCGGATTCGAGAATCACCGTGTCCTCCCCTCTCTTCGGACCTCGGATAATCCTATAATATTCCAGCTCAACTTATCTATATCGTCTTCCAGCTCCAGGATTTTCTCGTCAGTCCTTAGGGTGCGTGCGTTGTATGTTGCCAGGTCGAGTCGTCTTAGGTGACAACCGAACCTCCACCGGAGATTCTTAGCATCGCCTGCCTCGCCACCGTCGCCAGGAACAGCGGGGCCGCCGGGGACTGGGGGCCGTCTCTTCGTAACACTCATCATGGGGGGGGTATATTGCCATAGTTGCCACGCTTGGCGACCGGGTTGGCAACCGCAGTTTTTTTGTTATATAATTGCTGTTATCAAGAAGATGCTACTGCCTATCTCCTGCCTGTTTGCCTCTGTCGCCTTTTACGACACTCACGGGAAGATATGGGTTAGTGGATAATTCTTAACCGCCACTACACTGCAGCGCGATTTATCTAATTAATAATAATTATGTAGGTTGTAGGCTATTAAACGTCGGTGAGCAGTCAACATCAAAGGACTGCAACTTCTGTACGTAGTACTATTATTTATTCTGTGGTATTACTAAATATACCTAGAAGCAGTTCATTCGCAGATGACATCTTAGTAATAATCACAACAAAAAATAGGTAGGTACCTACCTGTCACTGACAAAACATATTTTTGACATCAATGAAACAATCTTCGAAATAACTAAATAATTTATCAATAGTCTTAAGTAAAACTCAATATATAAACAATACTAAAATAAGTATTTAACAAATATTAAATATTGTTGCGCGCCTAAGTTGCCGTCATGTACCCGGTACTAGCGCCATCTAGTGTCGGGGACCAGAGCGAGGAGGGCTTCCTAGAAAATGTCAATCTTGACTTTCGACCAACAGCGCCATCTAGTATCGAACAGAAGAATTAAGCTTTCTGGAAGCCCCACACTCGAACTTTCTGCGCCTGGTCGGTTGGCGCGCGTATTTACTTGAATATTCTGGACGTTTCGGTGAAAATGTGTATTTAAAGGCGCTGCAAGACGCGGTCGGAGCAGTATTGAATTTGGCGACACAAGCGAAGCTTCGGAGCGAAATAAAGTGAATCAGTGTGATTCATTATTGGTGTTTTAAGTTTTAATTGATGTTCGGTAATAAAAGTGTAAATTTTGGTAATTCAATCGGCAGTTTTTATTGTCACGAACCTCAAGCTCGTAACAATACTAACGATACACCCCGGCTTCGCACGGGTGATTTCTGGATCCTGACAACAGCACCACCTACCGGCTTCAAATGTCTCTATCTAATAATCTAAACCAACAATTTTTTATCAAAATCGGTCCAGCCGTTTTTGTGTTTTAGCAAGCCTAACGGACAGAAATTGATTGTTATATATAGACTAGCAATCCGCCCGGCTTCGCGCGGGTGTTTCCTGGTTCTCGACCACAGCGCCACCTAGCGGGTTCAATTAAAACATGTCCACCCACTTAAACATGCACAAAAAACTTCATCAAAAATCAATATCGGTCCAGTCGTTTTTGAGTTTTGCTTGACTAACGGCAGCAATAGATTTTTTTACATACAGATACTGGACAACTTTTTATAGTGTTGGTACTTGACATTCGTAAGTATAATCGTTGACAAAGAATGAAAGTAGAAAGAACAAGTTGCTTACCAATATAATAAATAAATTAAACAGATATAATAATAGATTTAAAAAAATTTGCTCATGCCATTTATGATGTTGGCCACGATATCTCATGCCGACCTCTATGCAAGACTCTGGGGATGTTTGAATATTATATTAAAAGTTGCCAAATTTGTAAAATAATACCGGACGTTTTTATTAACTTAACAAAGAAGTAGAGTCCATTACACGAGATACACTGATTATAACTTTAAGAGTTTACATAAGCATAGCTTGCCCATGTTTATTGCAGATAGTTTAGTAATAAGTAATATAACTACCAAAAAGTAAACGATTTATCAAGTTGCTAACAAATGGGTGAAATAATATACAATAATATAAGGCGCACAATAAAAATCTTGCTATCTTTGATCAGTAATGGAAACTTCCTATTCGAAAGTTCAAAAAAATACACACTAGATACTATTATTTATTCTGTGATACTAGTGGCTTCTCCAAAATACATTTTACTCGGCAAACGAATTTATAAACTACAGATGACAACCTTGGTAGGAGAGACCAATAACCGATAAATGACTTTTTTTAATTAATTGACATTGCATATTTTAATATTGTTTAATTTCTTTAAAGTTATTTTTATTACTACTTTAGATATCTTTATATCACGAATTGGAATGTTTGTTATTGGTACTTTAATGATTTAGTAATAATTCATTTTAATAACTTAATATTATAAAACAAATATTTGAATAAAGAAAAAATAAAACAAATTTGCATATCTTTACTAAAGACTTAGTATGTGATACATAATATTTATTATTACCTCATGCAACATACTCAAAAGCAAATAAGTAAATAACAAATATTATAGATATTGATTGTGATAATCGCAATCATTTCGAGTATCATTTACAGACAGACAAACTTTCGCTGGGTTCTCTATAATAACATCAAATGGTAACGACTATAATTATTAATGCAGTATAATGTACTTAAGTTTTGCATCAATAACATTCTATGAAACATTAACACCTGCACAGAATAAAAATCTTACATTATTTTGAAGTACACAAGCATGAAGTATTGACATCAACAACAATTTCTACATTTTATAAAGTTACAATTTTGATTATTTGTTATATGCAATATCAGTATTTAAATATATTTAAAACAATTTATCAAAATGCTTCATAACACAATCGGCCTTATTTATTAATCGGTAATTATCGCTTATAATAAGTGGGTAGTATTTATATCTATAGCTGTCTCTCTTTATTGTCATTTAGTAAACAGAAGACAGTAACATTTATAATTTGTTTTAATGACGTAGATTTTTATGAGTAAGATCATATATTGTTAAGGCATTTAAGTAGATCTATGGAGGAATAGCTGTTATTTTAAAATTAATAATAAACAGTTATAAGCGGCTTCTATGGACCATAATACTTATCAATATTAGATATACAATATTAGTTAAAAGTTGACACCATACAATCTCAATTTAAGTAGAAAAGCATAAAATTTTGCATTAACCGCAGTCTAGCCCCCCATTGTGCAGTCATTTTTTTATTCAAATTAACTTATTAAATAGGTACATACTTCTACACAATTCCAAAATTAAATGGAAACATTCTTTCAAACAAAATAATCTAGTGCCAAAGCATCAGTTAGATGAAAATGAAAATCACTATTTCAGGGCACAGTAAGTGTAAGAGCCCGATATGGTATATTTCATCTTAAATTATAACCACTAAAAGAAAAGAAAATCAATAGCAAAAATAAATAACGCTATACAAATATCCATAAAACAAATCCAACATTAGGCTTACGTTTGTAACATACAATATGGTGGTGTTTATGTCAGTTCTCCGTTACTCTTACTATTTATATAAGACTACCTGTGATAACTTCATGTGTATTTTGGAATACTGCTTCCTGAAAATAAGAGAGAAATGAAATTATATAAGTTATTTATCATTAAATATTAGCATACAAAGATAACAATACGACATTTTAAGGCAGTGGTCAGTGAATAATAGATAAATATTTTTATGTAGACATTTATTTGATTGAAAATTATCAAGTGTAATTACATTTCAACAATTTAATTACTTCACACTTTGTCATTATAAATACTCATTGACTAGTATCATAACATTAAAGAACATGTCGAAATTTTTAAACTGCACCTATGACTATAGAAACAAACTAAACTTATTTATCTATTGTCTGTTTTATATCACCATACGTAGGTACTACGTAAAACAAACAAAAGATATTATAACAGAAAATACACAGTATGAACATAACTGTTGTAATTCTTTTAACTAGTATTAAAAGTGTATAAAAGTGGGGTGCAAAATTTAAGCATAACTCCATTCATTTTTATAGGCTATGCTACCCATTTGTTTTATCAATTAATCATAAGTCATAACATTGGAATTCTTACATTCTACCTGATTCTATACATATCAGTGTGCAACAAATTATTGAAATTGCTTTAATTTTGTGTACATTATCTCAGATTTTACATTACAGCACTAAAATTGTAGGTACATTGTATTCTAGTAAATCAAACCAATCGCATGGAATAAAGCTAGCCGGTTTTTATAGATAATTTACCAACAAAAGTAATTATTAATTAGCTATCTATAGATCAATAACAAAATTATGTCAAAATCGTTTCAAAATCTACTCATTTAATCATCACTTTAAAAAGAAATAAAGACAACTTCATCTAAACAGAAAATAGTTGTTGAGACCTGAATTGTGGAAAAACCCCTGTCTTATTTTTCATAATTAAAAAATTCTTACACTTTTACAATGTTAACAATTTCTCATATACCTAAGGCAATAATTTGAATACACAACTCAAAAAAGCGCAAAAACATGATTATCAGCAGGAGCTGTTTTTATAATTTATATATCACAGAACTTTTAGTTGAGTCAAGGAAGCTTATAAAATGGTTGAATATTTTTTCAAATTTTTCTAGGCCGATTTTTATGAAGTTTTTAACATTTGTAATATGTTTGAAATCAGAAATATGTTAGCAGGCAGAACAAATTTTTTGAAAATTGTGATTTTGAATTTTTTTTTCATTGAGCATTCGAATTGCAATATACCAAAAACTATGTATACTTTTAGACTGGCAATTCAGAACAAAACTGAGTAGATCGCGCGGGCGCCGGCTGGGTGGTAGGTGTTAGCTGGCAAGGTAAATATGTACCTTCATTTACGACGGTTACTGTTTTTAGGCAAATACGAATAAAGTTACAAGCTCATATTATATCTATGTAAAACACAAAAAATGTTTCTAACTATAGAGACGTTATAGACTGAAACCATCCAACCGATTTAATTTTGTTTTTGTGTTTGAATGCATCCCTAAATGGTTTATATTCATATTTGACCCAGTAGGTGGCGCTGTTGTCGAGATACAGAAATCGACCGTGCGACGCCGGGACTGGTCACTGGTCTGAAATAAACTTCAAATCACATTAACAAAGCCCGCACATAAATAGTGACAGCGTTCTCTTAGTCACATTAAAGACAATCAGTGTCAGATTGTCAAAAACGTTTAAAAACTATTCTTTTCACCCGGTCACATTCGACTAAAGGAGTTACGGAGTATTAAGGGTAGATATAGATAGAAGTCTTCTTCCCGATGAATTTTCTCCCAATATTGATAAACCTCACAGAAATTAACGTAGGTCTGTGCCCAGATAACTACACTATTTACCTAATAACTAAATTTAATACTGCGAACACCTTACACAAAATAAAATAAAACGAAAAAAATAAATATTAAAGTATAGTAGATACAGAATTTGCGACAAACTTCATTATCCGTAAAAAACATTGGAATAGGTATTTGTCAAATAAGCCAATTTTTTTAACCTCTATGCAATGTGCAATTGAAGTACTGCACTCAAAAGTGCCTTTTGTTAAATATTTTACAACATATTAATTTATTTAAATGATGCATTAATTTGTTGTTTTTTAAACTATTAAGCCTAATAATACACATAATAATTTGATATCATATTTTCTATTCCATCTTATTTTTTCTCATATATGGACTAAATAATACTTTTTGGTATATGTACATTTTTACTATTATCCCAAATACACATTTGAAAATGACAGCAAAGCCGGAGTGCAAATAAGTATAGTTTTAAATTTTTAAATCGTTTTTTATGGTTTTATTATTAGTATAATTTAGTATAAAGTTTTCTTATTATTAAACAGATATTATAAGTAATTAAAAGAATGCATTGTATGTATAAGTAATATTATATTTTATCAATGTGAACAATGAGCCCACTAATCTAAATGTTTCTGATTTCAAACAATTATCACAAAAACAAGTTTTAAAAAGAACCATCAAAATCAAGAGTACAAAAGACAAAAACATAAATAGTTACTGAAAAGAGTTACAATACTTAATATATTTTTAATGTTACATTGTCTACGATGAGCGGGGCAGATGCAGTTTCAGCTTTGCTTTAGCTCAGTAACAGTTTGTTTCAGTCATGCAGTTAGCAGACACATGTTTTGACAGTTTGCGGTCACTTTGTGAGACATCCACACGAGATTACTATTCATGAAATGAGTCTTTCTATCATATAATTGGTAGTCAGGCCAAGCAAATGACATTTGACATGTACAATGTATTATAGGGAAAAGTAAGTTGGACGTTAATTCAGCTGTATAACTACGTGATAATTATTCTTTGCACCTCTTTTTTGTTGCCTATAATTTATAATATTATATTCCAGAAGTCGTAACAAATTATTTTCATCACATCATAATATACTACATGTTAACTAGACAAATGTGCCATACACACCATATTTGTGATGTACTCTTAATGCATTGTTAGAGTAGTCCGCAAATGTTTTTAGTTTTATCTTGTGCGCCCTTCTTGCAAGCGAGGACTGACTTATGCGGCCCATCTTTATACTTAACTATTAAAGGTGTATAGCTTTCACAAATATCTAATTAACAGATACATATATCTTGTCTAACATTAAACTAAACTACATGTCAATATATACCTTACTATTTTCTTATAATTTACCTTGATTAAAGACTTCATTTGTTTACTGGCACATAATTTTATTTTAGTTGTTGAGTGAACAAACAGCTTTCACGAACAAGCTTGGAATGTTTTTTATAGAAGTAAGGGTGATGAACATCCACACAGTCACTCTAATGATAAGTGCAAGCTGTGGCTAGAATTAAAAAGCAAATATGTTGTCACCCCTGAGGACTTAGATGAACCGATTGTAACCATTAAAAAGAGCACATGTTTTGGTCAATCACCATACAAAATACAGCAGGATTATGCTGCTAATTCATGTTAGTATTCTGTGCAAGCAAGGTCCTTGAACCCAGTTGTATGATTTATTAATACTGCAAACATAATATGTTGTAGCAAAGCTCTACCACTTATTTCTACGTCAACAAAATTCATATTGGTCTGATGATATAAATTGAATACTGCTTTAATTTCCCTTTACTATAGTATAAATAGGCAGTGTATTCTTAAGGTTTTATAAAAAAAATTTAGACAAACATTGAAATTAAATAATAAAGTGAACAAATTATTTGTAAAATAACCCTTATAACATGTAATGTGTGAAATTGTCTTATTAAATAAGAAATATGTTTTGGACCAGAACATAATTTTATTATAAATGTGAAATATTTATGCGAGACACACAGAAAATTCAAAACATACAAAAATATTACTACGGCAAGCCAAAGCTTCAATGTAAAATTTTAGCTTAACTGGCAATCTGGGAAGTCTGAGAGTTTTTAATTTTTCTCCTCGACAATATATAAACTATGTTTAACTTAACTTATTGGCTTTACTTAAGGATGTGATAAATATAGTAGATAATAAACCATACCACTGAGAGCTGATTTTTCAATCATTAGTTAAGCTATCTATTAAATAAATTTTTATTATAAACTGAGTAGTGAAACAATTGAATTATTTTATTCACACAATTGTAGTTTTTGAATTAAATTTGGTTATGATGTATTTTATCATACAAATAATTTTATCTGATGATTGAAAAATTCAATACAAATGTTCCAGTTCAAAAAATATCAAGTTATTGAACAGTTTGAATACTGGCACCGTTTTTAAAAACATAAAAAACTTTTATTTGTATTCAAGCTACTTTTTGTTTATTTTACTATAAATATATATGAACTAGTTCATCAAATGTATTTTGTTTATTAGACAGAGAAATTATAATGTAAGATTCTGGAAAAACAGTACTTAAATAGAGACCCTTAGCAAATTATTTCAATAGCGAGTATATTTGATGCAAGTTAAGAGAATGTATAATATTAAATTAGTGTGACTTGCCAGACTGCCATGGCCCAATATACTCGCTGTCAGTTTAGATAGAAAATAAAAACTGCTTCTGCTACTTTGACATACAAAAAATTATTTACTCACTAAACACCCCACAATTGAAAATACTAAGCATAATTGAATGGGTTACTAACAACACTAATGTTGTCATAAAACTGAAATATCTGGAGTAGGTAATGATTTATATAATTATTTGAGTATTAATAATTTATAATTAATTCATCGTAATTGCAGATGATTTGAAGCTGTAACAATTTCAATTCAATCATAATATGGATCTTAAGAAAAATGCTTTTGTACATGAGTGCTATGTATATCATTTCTATATCAACAGATTAGATAATTATTAAAGTTTAATCACATTTCATAATAAAGACAGGGGAAGTTGTTTATAATAATAAGTTCACAATAGTATTTCTTCTATTTAAGAACAGGATTTGAATACATCAAGCAAATCACTTATAACATCTTTGTTTAAAATATTTTAATCTTAATTACAAATTTAATATTCAAACATGTTATAAGAAAGTGTAATTTATTTAAAGATGTTATGTAATGATTATAAGTAATAGATCATAATGACTAATATGTTAATGTGAAATTCCATAATTCACCCCACCTGTGTTGAGGCCAGTGTTCTCAGAGGCAGTAGCGGCACCCATAGTGGTCGATGGCGGTGGAGGCATGGCGATGGGCGGCGCCTGTTCGCCACTAGGACGCCCTTCGCCACCAGGTTGTACGGTAACCGCCTGAACTCCGTCCGAATCGTCCCTCTCAAGGGTATGATAATCACCGGATTCCTCCGGTGGGCGCGGCTTGCACTTGCCACAACAGCAATCACAGCAACAACATAAGCAGCAACAAAAGTAGCAACCCGTTAATATACCGCATACAACAACAAGAACCTTGCACCAAGTGCTCGTCACAACGAAATAGGCGTTGACATTTTCCTCGCCAAATTGTTCAGCAATGTAAAGTCCGAGTGATCCGTAATTATCGTATATGTTTCTCTTGGTAACGTCACTAAGAATTGTATGAGCACGATTAACTTCTTTAAACTTATCAGCTGCTTCTGGATTATTAGGATTCTTATCGGGATGATATTTTAAAGCTAATTTACGATAGCTTTTCTTGACATCTTCTGGCGTTGCAGTTTTAGGAAGTTGCAGAATTTGATAAAGACTGTCTCCTGCAGTTGATAATTTCCTTTTATCCATTTTATTTGATCAGTGGTCTACTATTTTTAGCAAATTTATGTTAACGTTTAGCAAAAAAGAAATATGTACATAAATCCTAAACGCGACTGTTAAATTCCGATAAAATTCTACCTATCCATCAGGGTTACCAGTACAGCAAATTTCTTTTTATACCGCTGCAAATCAAATCATATTACCACTTATTACAAACCAACATAACTGCTGAAAAATAACGATTATATATTTTTTTCTTTATGATAACAATGAAATCAACACAACAACAAATCTCGTTATAAAAACAAATTTAAATTCTTGGTACAAATGTGAGGTTCAAGTTCTTATTTCATACACACATACTATTATTTAGTATGTGTGTATGAAATATATTATACAAGTTGACAAATTAAATACTGTAAAGTAGTGTTTAATTATAAACATATTTTTAGTATTTAATTATAAACAGTATCTTAAAATAAAAAGTAAGCAAAATATGGGCAATGAACTATTTTCGACAGAAAAATATATACCTACCGTAAATTGGGATGAATCTATCTAACGAAAATTCTTGAAATTTTCGTAAAAAAGGAATATATAAATAATATATTCCTTTGTACGAAAGATGTTATTACGTAGAACAACTTTTTACAACCTGGCAATATTCAGTTAACCTGACTTTTTCTCAATTTTTATTCTAGACAGAGAATACCATGGATGTTATAGCTCCTCTACACGATGAGCTAGCGCTGTACCAGCGAGATTGCCATGCGATGATTGAAACGCAACTACACGATGGAGACATTCAGTTGTGATCGAAACGTTTTTCGAGATGGACGTGGATGAATTAGTCGCTGCGGTAATATATCTATACAAAACCTACTGTTATTTTCTTAATGTGTACAAGAATAGTTTTCAAAAAGAAATTGCGTAGAAGAAGATGGTGGATGTTATCTTTCCATCGCAATAGAACTAAATATATCCTAAGTCAATTTACTTTTCTTTACAAATAATTAAATAATTGTAATTAATAATTTAATAAATAATTATTAATTTATTATTCAAAATAAATAAAAAACAAATTATGTATATGTTCTGATTTTAGTGGCTCTATGATTAAAATTTTATAACTTCATTATGAGGCCATATATTCGACACTTTTAATTCGTTAATTAATAAACAAAACATGAAGGTCCACATTCAACCGTCGAGCGCGCAAAACTGCGGAATGGGCCACGTGTAGATGCGTCCCGCCATCGCTGGTCCATTAGCTTTGATGTGCGGCGGAAAAACCGACACCGTTGCCATCCCCAAGACCATCGCTCGCGCCATAAGCCATCCGTCACAACTAGGCCCTCCACACACTGGCCCATCATAGTGGGTTAGTGAGCCATCGCGATGGCCCATCGTGTAGAGGGGCTAATATACTTTAGCACGTATTGATCGTTCTCCTTCTCTCTAATCTCCATGGAGAATACTATCTCTTTCTCACTCCCGTTTCGTACTCATACAATTGTACACAGACCCACAAACCAATATACAACCACAAACCAATGTACTAGTCAGAGATCACAAACTTATAAGAAGTCTAGCGTGGTCCTTTGGGTATTCAACCAACTCAAAGAATTATTAGTATGAAGGTCAAGTGAGCGCTAAAGAAACGACGATTGCAAGACGTTGTCGATTAGTAAAATGTTTTGAGACATTATCAATTACCATGTAGTGCCGGTGTATTAATATGCATATCATCCCGTGGATAAAAGAGGCGTCTAGACTTGGGGAAAAGTGTTATTTTTAAATAGCCGTGAAAGTCGTTCCGGTACGAAAAAGTCACAGTGAAAAATTATAGTGACTTTGTCACCTAGTAAATTAGTAGAATGTTTAGGGGGGGGGTCGTCAACATTTTTTGTAAATTTACTTGTATTATTAGTAATTTCTTTGTATTAATCAAAGATATTTAATGACTACTTATCTTTAGTATTAATATAGGTACATATCATTTGAAGATAATCACCAAGGAGACGAAGTTTTTCGTGAATGTAGTTATTAGGCAATATTCACTAATAAGCATGAACATGATCAGCAGGATAATAATATAGAACATGTTGTTGTGCCCTACAAGCACATTTGTGTGCTGGGTTGGTGGAGAATAAAACACTGACACTTTTTTCTTTCTTCTATATTTGATGTTTTTCTTGAGAGAGCTGGCCGCCGACTGTGTCGAACGACGAAAATCGCCCCTCTTTTATACTACCTCGGCCGGGTCGAGTAGTACGGCGTGCGTACCGTGTGACGGCGTCGACCAATCAGCGCGAGGCGCTACAGAGCTGAGTTACATTGTTTACCTTAAGCTAGTTATATTATTATACAAAGTGAATTACTAATTCTAATACATGAATATAAGCTTTACACTATTAGTTTTCTTAATATAAAATGCTTATATCTTCTCTTATGTGTAACTTTAAACTATAATCACAACATAAACGCTTATATCCTATTTTATGTGTAACTTTAAACTATAGTCTTTATTAACACAATATAAACGCTTATATCCTATTTAAGTACAAACTCTAAACTACTATAATATAAAAATGTTCGTCTTATTTAGGTATAAGTCTATTTATTTTCACTTGTCCCGCACATCACTCCCGCCGTGCGACCGCGTCGCATCAGCTTCCGGTGCGGGCTCGACGTTCGTAGATAGAGGCAGGATCACCAGCTTCCTTATTGGCCGGCGTAGGACTCCTCCCTTTGTCAGCACGTCCACTGTCCGCACGATGTTGTCAGGACCCGGATATGTAGCGATGACTCTTCCTCGTATCCACACGTTGCGGGGTAGGTTCGGATCGACGATCTGTACGAGGTCGTCGACGCGTACTGCTTGGCCTCGTCCGTGGGGCTCCCGCCGGTGTTGGAGCTCAGGGAGGTACTCCTTCACCCAGCGTAGCCAGAAGATGTCGGCTAGTCTCTGCGCAGCTCGCCAACTTGACCGTAAGAGGGTGTCTCGTTCGGTGAAAGTGCCTGGCTGTGGTACTCGTCCCGGTCCTCCCAACAAGAAGTGGTTAGGAGTAAGAGCTTCAGGATCCTCTGGACTGACTGAGACGTGAGTCAGCGGGCGGCTGTTGACTGTGTATTCTACTTCTACTAGTAGTGTTGTGAGGACTTCCTCTGTCGGATGACGTTCGTGCAACGTCGCGATGAGAGCGGTCTTGACAGAGCGAACCATTCGCTCCCAGGCTTCGCCCATAAATGGAGCTCCAGGCGGGATGTAGCGCCAGGAGATAGTCCTCTTCGCTGCTTCTTCTGAGGTCGCTGCGTCGACCGCCCGTCGTAGTTCCTTATCGGCTGCCTTCAGGTTGGTGCCGTTGTCTGACCATATTTCTGTCGGGCAGCCTCGCCGCGCGATCATTCGCCTTATGGCCATTACCGCGGAGTCAGCGCTGAGTGAGCCGGCGACTTCTAGATGTATGGCTCGCGTAGTGAGACATGTAAAAATGGCCACATATCTCTTTTGTCGAGTTCGTCCGACAGTCACCGAAAGGGGTCCGAAATAGTCCACCCCGGTGTAGGTGAAGGGGCGCTTGTGGTGAGCTAAGCGACATGTTGGCAGGTCTCCGGTTCTCGGATGCGGCGGTACTTGCGTCTTCATTCTGCAGAATAGGCATCTTCGTATTATTGCGCGTACGGTAGGACGCAGTCTCAGTACCCAATACTGCTGCCGACACTCGTTGACTGTGGCCTCTACACCGGCATGATGGAGTTGCCGATGTATAGCCTGTACCCAGAGTTTGACCGTGTGATGATCACCGTCGATTATCATCGGGTTCTTGAACTTTTCTTCCATGTCGCAGACCGCTCGAATACGACTTCTAAGTCGTAGTGTGCCGTTTATGGACTCTACGCTGAGCTGGTGAAGGCGGCTCTCTTTGTTGATCGGCTTCCCGCTGTTTAGACTGTCTATTTCTTCCGTAAAGGATTCTTCTTGAGAGGATCGCATCAGGAGTTCTTCAGCTGTTTTAAGAAGCTCGGCTGAGACCATTAGTGGCTTTATGTCTTCTGGTGACCGCTTTTTTGTCGTCGTGCGCGCCTGACATTTTACGGTAGCTTTGTTCTTTTTCCAAGTGGGATCAGCCTCTTTATTCTTCTTTGTTCGTTTGTAGTTGACTCTCTGTTTGGTGTTTCTGCAGAGTTGAATGAACTGTAGAACACGTGCGGTTGAGTATCGGAGTCGGTCCCAGTTGGAGAACTTCGCTGGATCAGGTAGACCTTCTGCAAGCTTCAGTCTTCCTTTGTTGCTCACGTGATGTGTTCTTTCTTCGTCGGAAGGTTCTTCCGCTATTGCTCTTGTGGTTTCCGTCGGCCAGAAGTCTTCTGTTAGATATAAGAAGTCAGGTCCTTTGAACCATCGATGGTCTTTATTAAATGCTGCTGGCACGTCTCGTGTGGCATCGTCCGCCACGTTCAGCTTTGTTGGCACCCAGCGCCAGTCGTTAACTTTGGAACTTTCTTCTATTGCTGCTAGACGATGAGCCACGTAGGGCTTATATGAACGTGACCCTGTCCTTATCCAGGTTAGTACTGTCTTGCTGTCCGTCCAGAATACTTTGCGGTCAGGTTTCCTCTCGTGTTCTTCGACTACTGTTTCTGCGAGCCTGGTGCCCATGACTGCAGCCTGTAGTTCCAATCTTGGGATGGACGTCAATTTTAACGGTGCCACCTTTGCTTTCGCCATAATGAGGGATAGGTGGGCCTCGCCTACTGTTGTTACAGTTCTCCAAAAGAGAACCACAGAGTAGGCTGACTCGCTGGCATCGCTGAAGACGTGAAGTTCTAGGGAGGCCGCGTCGCTGTAGTGAAGATATTGCCGCGGGATTGCTACTTCGCGGAGGCCTTTCAGATGCTCCATCCACATTTCCCACTGCTCCGCCAGGTCCTCGTCGATCTTGTCGTCCCATGCTGTTCCTCTACGCCAGACTTCCTGGAGTAGTTGTTTTGCCCTGATGGTGATAGGTGAGGCGAGCCCGAGC